TTTAAACGTGACACAAAAAGCGGGTATAGATGCAAATCCCCCTGATTCCAATTACAGTTGTAACCAGTATATTAAGAGGCATTTTTGGAGCGAGCCCCGAGACGAGGCGTATCAAAAATGCCCCGAGGCGATGGTGGGGGCGAAAGTCTCATAAGGTGTATGCCACAAGTTTGGGGTGTACATCCGCCGCCCGGGCGAGCTTTTTGGTTGATGCGAGATTTTGTGTTGAGGCGTAAGCCCAAGAGACTTCTTCAAATTAAATAAAAATTTTACTGAATAAGTCCTTTAACTCATTTCTGTTGTAGTAGCAGGTGAACTCTGCAAAAATCGAAACTTGCAGAAAATGGATGAAGCTGAGTCTGAAGATGTGAGCAGAAAAGATCTTGCATTGCCTGGAAGTATACAATCTCAAATCAAGAGGAAAAATATTTTAGGTGTAGGTTTTGCACCCAAAAATGTACTGGCACTATCAACCGATAGAAACATCATTTAGCAAGTACTCGTAAAAGAATGAAGCATTGTCCCAAGGTTCCTGCTGATGTAGCAGAAGAATGTAAGAAAGCATTACTGGAGTTGAAAAATTCAAAAGCTAGGCAAAATGCTACTATAGAAGAAATTCGAATTGGTGCAACTGGAGGAAGTAATATTGGTGGTGAGTCTTCAAAATATTCGAAAACAAAAACAAGACCTTCGATCTATGTTCTCTTCCGAAGCTTGGAATAATTCTACTTGAGCTAAGAAACATGAACGAGTGAAAACAATAGCTACAATTCTATTTGATCAAAAAATTTGGCCTCATATTGCTTACTGTGTGAGGAGTGTTACTCCTTTAGTGAGTGTTCTAAGGGAAGTTTATTCAGAAGAGAAGCCTTGTATGCAGAGGCGGACTCAGGTTTTAGTCACGACGGGGGCACCACTGTGTGCTAATCGCTAGCGATAAAATTCGGCGTGCAACTCTTTGAAAACTTAATGATTATAATGACTTATCATCCACGTATAACAAAAGAAGTTCTAAAGAAAAGAAAGCACTGAACAAAGAGAGATTTCTTCGCAAAATGGGTGATATGGGACGGGACAATGTTTGATTAAGCATGTTTCGCACTTTAAAATTTCTAGTTTTTTTTTAAATAAAATAATGGGTCAGTGATTAAAAGGGCGTTCAAACTTTAAAGAAATCAAGATTAAGGGTATGTTAATAGTAAAAAAACAAACTAAAGAAGAGTCTTAAACTCTTAGTTTCCACTGCCGATCGAGTCATAGTCAAAGTGATTGATGAAGAAGGTTGTGGCGTGAGGATTTGTATTTTTCTACTTGTGGAGTGATAAGTTGCAATTTGAAGCTTTTAATTATAAGGGATGAATTTGATTTTTTTTTTTTAATTAAGTTGACTATTATGTATTAGAAGTTAGAACTAAACTATAATTGAATTCAAAAGAATAAGAATAAAGAAAAAAATAAAATAATTTGTTATTAAGTATGAAACTACGTTGTATTCAATTAACTAAAAAAATTAAAGATAGGATTCGAACCCATATCATCCAGCAAACAAGGGAATTGAAGCGTCCCACATAACCACTTCTTTCGTCCGACTTTTAGCGTCTAGGAGCAGAACTAAAATATTTATTCTTATCTTACATTCTCACAGATATATTGATGAACTTTAGAAGCATCAAAATATTTCCACAAGGATTCAGATCCTAATTGTGAGTTGCTATATACAGTAATAGTCATCCATGTCACTAATTCTAAGGTTTTACATTCAGTTAAAATTGTTACTATGTATTCTCTCTTGCCATTACCATGTTTGAATCTTAAGATGAAATCTTGTGTAAATCTCATACATTGACAAAGTTATTGGTATTTTTTAATGATTTAAACGGAACACTACGTGCGAATGTACGTAAAAACTAGTAATATATTAAGACAAATAAGGAAATCAGACAAGTTGTAGCCATGAAATAACTTGAGCATGTGGACGTTAGGTTTGTGCATGATATTTCATTCTTTTTTTCTAATTTTTATTATTAATAATAATAGTCCAGATTTATGACATGTTTGTAGTATGACATGATTTCAAAAGAAAATATTATCATTTATTAGTTTTAATTGCCATAATATATTATTAACAATTACACTATTCATCAGTGTAGGAGAAGATCAATTTTCAACACCCAAAAAAGATTGACAACACTTGCAATTCCATGTATTTTAAATTTTTGAACAATTAACTAGACTAGCCGCCCATATTAACGATAATTTTCCCCTAATTTTTTTATGAACTATGATGATCAAATTAGCGAATGGTCCTAGATCCAAATTAAAAGGCCTCATCATATAAATTTATTGAAGCAATCACCGAAATGTAAAAAAAAATTAGAGATATAAAGAACTTGCATTTCAATTACGAGATTCATTGTCAAATATCAAGTTTCTCATACAACTATATGCAAACATGAGTTACTCACATGATTAGGGGACTATGTCATAAAGAAATTCTTAAAGATTTGCAAAAAAAATTATATTAAAAAAAATAAAAATAGAGGGCCGACCTATTATAGCCCATGACCCTCTTAGGACTGGGGTGGGCTAGCCATTTTAATGACCATTCAAATGGTGGATCAGCCAGTCCTAGCACAACAAATTCAAAGGCTCGCGAGGCTTGAGCTGAGCTAGCCCGTTTTGACAGCTCTTTAATTAATAATGGAATTTTTACCTCCTATAGCAAAGGTTATCACCTTATTTATTTTATATAAGTACCATTTAAAAAAATTATATTCTATAGATACCTTTTAATGTTTATAGCAAAATATCTAATTTTGGTTACCTCCTACCCTTAAGCCACTAAATACGCTATTCAGTTACACTATTTTCTTTCTCTCTCTACTTTGATACATGCCATTCTCTTCCCCCCATTCCCTGAAGCAATTAAAATCCATTGAGTTGTTGGTGCTAATTTTGCAATAGGAAAAAAATCAAGAGCAGGAAAAGGAGACTACAACCCACTTGGTTTAAGCAATGAGGAAGTTAGGGTTTCATCAATCTCGTCCGTTCCGTTTGCTCACCTTTTCGATTTTTTTTAATAAAAAACTGTAGTTATTTATTTATTGCTTCACTTTCTTAATTGTTGATAGTTGGTGCAATCTCAGCCATGGCTTGTGGAGTAAATTTCCTTCATAGAGTTATTTCTTATGTGGCCAATGAATTAATCGTCAATGGCCTCGCAAACAGGTAATTATTTTTATAAACTTTTTGATTGAGCTTTGAGTTATTTCTTTCCGTTTAACTTCAAAATTATAGTTTTATTATTCTTTTCAAGTCAAAATTATATTATTATTTTTTTTAGGGAAGGTGACATAAGTTGAGTTTTTATTGAAGAAGTGAGGATTTCTATAGCCTACCCCATCTATTTTGGGACTGGGGAATAAAGAAGAGGCTAAAAGGGAAAAGAAGAAGGTGAAAATGAACGTTATTGTTAGAGTTACAGTTCAGTGATTCAGGGATTTTGCTCAACGGCGGATTCGCCGGAAATTAGGGTTTTTTCTTGAACAAAGACGACGGAGTTTGGGGCTGAGCAACTTGATTTTCTGTTAATATATTTCATTGTATTTATTGTGTTTTTTTTCATTGTAATTCAATGTATCTCGTTGTATTCACTGTCTTTTTTTTCATTGTATTTCAATGTATCCTGCTGTATTCTATGTATTTTCATTGTATTCACTGTCTCGCTATATGCCATGAATGTATTCATATGCTTTTTTTAATTAATATAATTTATATATTCAGATGTATTATATAATAATTTCTCTGAAGATTGCTATATTTTTGGGGTATTTTTCGGTTGAGAATCTTTTTTATAACTGAAAATACAAAATTTGTGTGTTATAATTGAGTTTGTTGAGTTATATTAGGAGTCTATTATGTTAATTGATTCATTTCCATTTAAAGACAGTGTAATCCCCTGTTTCACGCCGTGAATGCAGTCGAATACAATAATTTGTCCCGCTGTAATCTTATGTTTCACGCCATGAATACAGTCGAATACACTCAAATACAACAACTGATTAGATGTACTTCCCTGATTCACGCCTATTTTTGCTACTGTATTCATGAATATAATAGCTTAAATACATCAAATACATCTTATAACCACAGAAAATGTATCTATAATCCGTAATAAAGCAAATGGTATCTATAGATGACTAATTACTACTAAAAGATAGTGCTTTATGAAAATTTCTCTTCAAAATATGTACAATATGGGCTAGGTCGGGTAAAACTTAAAAATATAGGCCATTTTTGCGAAGTCAAGTGTATTTTCTTGTAATTCTTTCATTTTCTTTACATGGATTAAAAAAGAAATAGGTTCACATAAATTGAAACATATGGAGTATTATTTTTCTTTAAAATTTATTTGTGATTACATGCAATTTCATTTTACATATTCCAAATTTGTCAAAGTTACATGCTCATAACTAAGTACAGAATCACCATACCAAACATCCCCTAAGGTACGTTTGGTTTGCGACAAGTTATATTGAAAAACTCAATAGTTTTAGCTCAAATCTTATATTTTTATTAAAAATCTATTTAATATATACAAAATAATTTATTCAAAACACAGTAAACTATCTTTTTTAGAATTCTAAACTCATAACTTCAAAATTTTAGCTACAACTATGTATACCGAAATTGTAATATGAGAGTTATAATACGAGATTACGTAATTATGAGATTATTTTGTGAATATATATTTTTTATAAATATGTTAATTTATTTGATATAAGTATATAAAATAATTTTTGTAATTTTTATAATACATAAAATTTTATTTTTAATTTTAACCCTATAAAAAAAGGACTTTAGAGAATGACTCTTATCCGAAATAGGATTGTTAATCCGAATCCAATATTATTCCAGTTTCATACAATGACACGTTTCACTTCTATTTAAATCTGAACCCTTTTTTGTTAGTACAAAATTACAAATCTACCTATCTTTTTCTCACACTTTATTACAAAAAAGAACAAAAAAAACTCAACAACTTTCTTCGTTTCCCTCTTTTAACATTCTCAACAGTTGCAGGTTGCTGGGTTTTGATCGTTTAGTCCAGGACACAGGTAATTAATTCAATATATAATAGTTTAGAATTTTTTTTACTTTTTAGCAATTTGTATAATTTTTCTGTTTGCCCAAGCAAAATTTTCAGTCTTTTGAACACTAAACGAACATTAAACAACGACGAAGATCCAGTGAAATCTCATTAGTGGGGTATGGGAGGGTAGCGTGTACGCAGCTCATTAGTGGGGTCTGGGAGGGTGCAGAACTTATTCCTGCCCCGAGAGGTAGAGAGGCCGTATTCCAAAGACACTCGGCTCAAGAACTAAACGAACATAAAATTGAAAGAAATAAAAATGTTCAACCTAGGTTTATGGTTTCTGCAATTTCTGTTCTTTATCTTTATACAAATAAATAAATAAATCATAGTTTTGTAATTTGTATAATTTGTTTAGCATGTTGTCCAATTATAAAAATTAATTGTACCTTACAATAGATATTCCGAAGTGGTATCATAGATTCTATGCTCTGCTATAATATTTTTGGATAACTACTTTTAACTTTTTTATTTTACATTCAAAATACAACCTTTGGTTCCTAGCTTTTTTGTAATTTATTTAACATGTTCCAAATTTTGGAACTTTTATTTTTTAATGTTGTTGGTAATTTGATCGATTTTGAAGTTAATTTCGGATCATAAATCTCTAACTGAATTGTCAATATTTCATCTGTATGATCATTTGAGTTATTATATAAATTGGTTATGTTGTTTGTCCCTTATTCTGCATTTACAGTCAAACTTATCTATAACAGTCTCGTTTGTTTCGAATATTTTTGGATGTTATAGCGAATGCTGTTATAGAGAACATATATTATGTTGAAATTTGGTTCCGGAAAAGCTTGGCTTTTATAGTGAAGTGTTGTTATATAGCTATGCTATTATAGAGAGGATTGACTGTATCTTTTTTTTTTTTTTTTTTTTTTTTGCAGCTGTTAAAATCTGTGAAAGTAGTATCTATCTAACTGCAACCATATGGGTGATGTTCTTCCTCTGTGTGCCTCTCTCCGTGACTTGTCCCTCGACATTGCAACCGTTACCTGTGAGAAGGGCAGGCAGAGCTTGAAGACTGTGGTTTCCATTTTCAATAAGTTAAAGAGGGTGTTTCCGGATAAAGACTATGTTCCATCAACCGGTAGTAGTAGTAAGTCTTTTTTACCTAAAGATTGGCATTCTTCACTTGAAATTTTGAAATATATCGCATACCAACATATAGTTAATTTGGTAGTGTTAATACTAGCAGGGCGTTCCATCAATCCTAGCATCTTTCAAATTGTGCTTTTAAAGATAAAATAGCAAACTGAAGAGGGGGGGGGGAGGGGGGGGGGTACAAACCTTTCTCAGCGCAAAGTTGCATTCTACAATTGTGCTGGTTCATAGTGCTCGATCTTGTACTTCCTTAACTTTCTTTGAGATGCTGAATATGTTTTTCCCGTGTTTCTTTCAGGGCTTCTCAGAGAGCGTAATGACATATATTGGCTTCATTTTAGTAATGTTTCCATGCTGAGCATGGTCGCTGCATTCGTGCTATTAATGGGTGATCCAAAAGTTTCCATGATCTCCATTATTTTTGAGACGATTGTCCCGATGTGTTGCTGTATAATTCATATGATAGCGTTTTTCACGGTCATTTATTGGCATCGCGACATGCCATTCCGGTTAATTGGCGCCAAGGCAAAATTTATGATCGAGGTCATTCCTATGATAATTGCAGCAGGCCTGCATCACCTTTTGGAGTTCAATTATGGGTATCTCGCTCTATTAGTATGCTGCACCACATATTTCTATATCTATGCCCACTTCTTGCACATAGCGTATGATATTGGGGGAATAGACGTATTGCTGGGATTAGTAATGCAGGTTCTTGGTTACATGTTGAACGTAGAATTGTTAGTTAGAGCTTTAGTTTTGAGCTTCTGCTTTGGTTTATCTTTCTATAGATACATGACATATCGTGCTCCTGAAGTACCTCCTCATCATAAAAAGGAGTTGGAGCTGCCTTGTTGATTTGAATGTGTTTGTAGAGGGACTAATTTCGTCTACATTTATAAATTATGAGCTATTTTTTCCCTTTTTGTCATGTAATGAGTCTTTGATTCACACACATTCGTTCTAGCCGGTTATACAAGTTTCTGTATATTTTTCTGGAATGAGTAATGGGTAGCCAAATTTTATCGGTATGAATATGTTGTAGTTTAAAGATAGGTGAACAAGGACAGCTCATTGAAGAATGTTACCCCTCGGGCTGTCTAACGCATAATGAGGAGCTTGAAGTTGCATTTAGCTCATTTCCGGATTCTGTTTCTCAGAGTCATAATCGATCAAGCATCCATGATTGTATTTTTTTCTTTCGTGTCCGGAGGCAGGTGAATCCTCTGCCTTCATCCGAGATAGTTGAAGTAGATAATATTCGAGTGACAGCTACCGAAAAGGTGTTAAAACAACGGAGTAGAATTCAAATATTTGTATGGTTTTGTGTTTGACAGATAGACACGATGAAAGGCTTAAACAGGGTGGTGAGCAAAAATCCGTGGTGATACGAACAAATTGGACAAAACAGCTATCAGCTTGAGAGAGCATGTCCGAATTTTATGTGCCTATCAATTGACTTAAATCGACCAAAAACATAGATAGAAGCCTGAACTTACTTAACTCATGACCAATTAAACAGTCAATCTCCATTTTACAGCACGCCCACAATCAAGTTGTTCTCTACAACCTCTACCTATTAACTTGGACATGATTGAAGCCAATTAACAAAATTAAAAAGTAGCAGCTTTTCTAAATAGTGCCCTAAAGAACTCCACTAAGCATCAGCACCAGCACCAGTAGACGACTCAACAGCATCACGAAGGGCCCTCTTCCTACAAAATTAACAATATTAAGATTTAACACTAACTCAAAATACAAAAAAGAAACACATAGGTTATTTATGTCAATACCTCGCAGCAATAGCAGAAATAGTCCTAGTCTCCATATGGGCTCTCGTAAACATAAGGAATAGGGATAGTGCCATGGCAGCCCAAGTCTTCCAGGAATAGTGATAGTCTCTGAGCGAGATACTAAAGGCCAGTATGCAGAATGGATAAAATGATCCCATGTCCGTACTGACGGGCCTCAGCATCATGATAAGGGAAAAGGAGCCCACCGGTGCACAAAGAAGCACCCAATAGATACAATCACTGATAGGCTGTCTATCATGCAGTAAAAGAACAACAAAGATACATGAAACTGGGCCAACTAGATTGCAATACTTGACATACTTCCTATTTTCTAGAACCGGAAGCTCCCCACCCTCAAAAAGGAAATTCGCCCCCATCAAACCAAAGGCCATCATGAAACTAAATGCAACAATACTATACTCGAGATGATGTTGCTGAACAAAAGTACCATCAATAAGCAGAAGAAAAGTGATGGCTGTGTACATGGCCAGAAAAAGAGAGAGCCATAGCTTTGTTTCGGTTTCCGTCTTCATTGTTGGGAACTGTAAGATAAATATTCCCACATTTTAATCCATTATAAATTTTAAAAAAAGAAAAAACAAAGAGATTTAGGCACTAAAACAGCATACAATCATAGCAACACTCAATATTATCGCATTACAAATTCTAACGACCACATTTCGGAGCCAAAGTAATATGAACAAAACTCAAACAAGAAACTGTCTAAACACCACTCAGTTGTTCGAATTAGAAACCTAAACTCTCCTGCATCTCAAAAGGATTTTTTTCAATTTTTGTTCTTAAAAGGGAAAATTAAAGTAGCAAACTAAGGAAAGTTGAAATATTTTTGTAGTTTTTCTTTTCATTACTCTTTTTTCAGACTAAAAGAAACTCAGCTCCAGGGTACTTATATTGAGAAAGCTTTAGCATTTTGCACGTTTCGAAACTCTGAGGATGCTATTCTTTAGCATATTGAGAAAGTTTTATTTTTGTTTCTCATGCGATGTTCAGTATTCGCTTTGGGGCCGACAAATCCGTAAAGGGAAAAGTGTTCTGTAACAAAAAGAATTTTCATTTCTAACGCCTAACCCCGAGACATCTGATTAAGAATGTAATATTCCTATTTCAAGTATTGACCAAGGACTAGTTGACGTGAAACTGCTGATTTTAGTAATTGATAAATGCTTCCGATGGATTTACTTAATTACTAAGATAGGTAGGAGTAGGCTTCACAGTATCGTGAGTTATACATGAGGAAATACTCACGTTCAGACCTCAACCAGGTCTGTTGTAAACATTTGTGGGCCTACAATTGAGCCCAAATAATGAAATAGTGTGGAAACCATTGTATCCCCAAATTGGGCATGCAAGCCTTGTTAGGCCAATTAACAGGCCCAAACTGGGGAAGGCTAAATTCACAAATTCCTACTCACACGAATCCAGTCACATTTCATAGCTCACAAAATCTTTGGACAAGCATAGATTACTTAATGTTATCATCAGATTACTTAATGTTATCATCAGTTCCTAATTAATAACATCCTAAATCATAAACTCGATCATTATGTTTAACACAAAATTATAACAAAAGCCCGTTGAATAATCACGGCGAATTACATGCACTCCAGCTTTAACAATAAAATTCTACACAGAAAGCAACTATTTCTTCAACCTTCATATATCAACAATTACTCCACCTAAACTTCATTTAACAGATGCTAAACCAAAGTGATCTTCAGATCTAAATCCTCCATCTCTTGTATTCAAAATAAATCCATAATGTGATTGCAAAGTACATTAATTAGTTCTGAAATTAATCACAACAGAGCCGATTTTGTACCGCGAAAACTCCTGTAATTCCATATAGATTTGACAGGACAAATCTAGCCAATTAGAGGGTACATACATAACCCAATCCAGCCTTCATTAGCAGAATGCCTCTATTTAACAAACACATGAGTAACTCAAGCAATGATACAGCACAAACTGACTTTAACAACATGAATTTCATATCCTAATTGACATATTATATCAGACTCAACTACAACACTCATAGATTCAGCAAAAGAAAGAAAAACAGGCTCTGTTCTATACTAAAACTGGAGCAACCGGAATTAGCATGATTAGCTAAAATTCACAACAATCCTTAACTGAAAATAAACATCAAGGTAAATGACATAAATATCATTTTAAGCTATCTCACTATTTCACCCATATTGAAATCAAACAATCAATGTGAAACCATGATTTGAGCAAATCAAATGCAAGAGATGTTTAAGCATCCTTGGTCATTCAATGAGAAAATGATACAAAAGAGACTTGAAACTGACCTTAACTGCAGAAACAACACTGAAAAGAGCTAGACAAGGCCCGCTGCAGATGAGAAGAGTTCAACCAGGCAGAATCAACCACACAGCTCCAACTTTAAACCCACAGCCAAACAAAAATCCAGAAATTATTGAGACAGAATGATAGGAACTCCAATACCTTTTGAAATTCTCTTTTCTTTTCAGTTTTTTTTTTTACTGTGAGTCCTAATTGTATGTGAGTGTATTACAAAAAATGAATTTCTAATGGTAAAAGAGAAGATCCGTCTATGAAAAATGAGGGAGTGTCGTCTAAATTCTGCCCTCAGGAGTGTATATAGGTGTTAGAATAGAGAGAGGGTCTGACAGGGAGGGGAATATTTCACCGTGAATTTAGAGAAATGAGAAGGGAGGGAATATTTTGCAACTGAAAAGTGCCAGGTGTTACTTCACACTATCTGATCAGGTCTGGGCCAAGTGCCATGGCCAAATGGCCCAAGCCAGGCCCAATCCGGCTTCAATAGGAGAAAGCCCAAAAGAAAATCAACACAACAAATACTATATTTTGAACTCTAATTATACTAAATGCTGACTCTTAATTAACCTAACTCAACATATTAACTATTCTAATTGATCATGCAAATAAAAATAAAAACGTAATTAATCAATCAAAAGAAACACAATCAACAAACGAATAGGAAAAATGAGTGGATATACCGATTTACCCTTAAGAAACAGCCATCGAAGCAAAAATGGCGGACAAAAGCAGAGGCAAAATCTGACCGGACTAACGTGGCCAAGTGATGAGTCAAAAACTGCCATCAATCGATTGCTCTTATCAAGAGCAATCGACTGATGTCTATTTCGAACCCAAATGACCGAAAACAAAATCCAAACAGGAGCGGCTAGGGTTTCCGACGGTCCAAGACCACCGTGAAATGGTAGTACCCGTCGGGAGAAGTCGATTGGTGTTGGCATTTAATCAAAATAGGCCGGAATTTGGGAAAAATTAAAAAGGGGATGAATTTAGGTTCCTAGATCTGCTATAACTGAAATTTCGGAAGGTTTTGAAGGATGAGGCTAGGGGGTATAGAAAGAGGAGGTGCTGGAGATCATAGGGTGAAAATTTGGGTCGCTTAGGAAACTGTCCGCCGCCGTGAGGCGATTTCCGGCGATGGCGGACGGCTGAACGAGGTGGAGAGCATATGAGGTGTGAGAGAGCGTCTTTGGGTAGGGGGTCTGGTGGTCTCGACAGTTTTATCAGGATGAAGAAACAGTTCCCAACCGTTAGATTGATGGAGATGAAGGGTTTGGATTTTCTGTAGGAAAACGGCGTCGTTGGCCTTGGGATGGGACTGGACCGGATTTTAATCCGGGCTTGGACGTGTTGAGTGATCTGTGCGAAAACAATAGGCTCAATTTTGATCATAAATGTTTAAAAACAAACCCCTTCTTTCTTCCCTTTGTTTCAACTTTGTTCAAATGGCCACTTTAGCGAATTACTCTAATTGAATCCAATTTACACAGTTAAACCATTTAACTACTTCATCTAGGAGTTGACTAATTATTCAATTAAGATTGTGATTTAACAAACTCGCTAATTAATTGAAACTAAAAATGCAAAAAACAAGAAATAATTAATATATTTTATGTAATTTTCGTATTTCATGCAACTAACATGCAACTAAGTGTAAAAAATGTAAAGAATGAATGATAATTTTTTTTTTGATATTTTCTGATTGGAAGTGCTCCTTATTATGCTACAAATGCAAATAAATGCCATGAAATGCAAACAACAAAGGGAGAAAAATCTTCAAAAATCCCATAAAAATCAAAACTAATTAGATAACTATTTTTTGGAATTTTTAGGAGATTTTATATGGGTAAAAATTACGTGCTCACAATATAATACTCGATTTGACGGCTAGGTGACTTTGGACCCCAAGGCGGATCCAGAATTTTAATGGATTAGTTACCTCCTATAGCAAAGGTTGATACCTTATTTATTTTAAATAAATACCCTTTTAAAATATTATATTCCATAGCTACCTTTTGATTTTTTATAGCCAAATATCTATTTATGGTCATCTCCTACCCTTAAGCCATAAAATAAGCGTTGTATTATTTTTCTATCTCATATCCCCTCAAATTTCTCCTATCCCCTACCCTATATCTATTCTCCCTCTCTCTCCCTCTACTTCCCGATCTCATATCCTCTTTTCTTCTTCTTGTACAATTTCAACAATTGGCAGTGCCTCTATCGAGCCTTTGTCGCCGGCGGTGAAGGCCCCTGCAGATTCTGAACGTCCCATCCGACGAGAGAACAAAACCCAACAGATATTCCCTAAATCCAACAAATTCTCATTGATGTTCAAGACTTCACTAACCGATCTTTCATCCAAAAATACACACATACTCCTACACCCACCAGATTTGCAGCGAAAAAAAATGAAGTTCTTGTCTTAAACTTGAAGAAGCAGAATTTCTAGGCATCACAAGATTTGACAAAAAAAGTTGCCATGTCTTTTTCCTAAAAATTATGCAGCTTGATTCATAAGTGAAACTCTAGGGTTGTTCTTGAACAAAGACGACGGAGTTGGGGGCTGAGTAACTTGAATTTTCTGTTAATATATTTCAATGTATCTCGCTGTATTTCATTGTATTCATTGTCTTTTTTTTCATTGTATTCCAATGTGTCTCGTTGTATTCTATGTATTTCATTATATTAATTGTCTTTTTTCTTATTGTATTTCAATGTATCTATTCTATGTATTTCATTCTATTCACCGTCTCGCTATATTCCATAAATGTATTCATATGTTTTTTTAATTAATATAATTTATGTATTCAGATGTATTATATAATTCTCCGAAGATTGCTATGTTTTTGGGGTATTTTCGATTGAGAATCTTTTTTATAAATAAAAATACAAAATTTGTGTGTTATAATTGAGTTTGTTGAGTTATATTAGGAGTCTATTATGTTAATTGATTCACTTCCCGTTTAAAAACAGTGTAATTCCCTGTTTCACGCCGTGAATACAGTCGAATACAATCGAATACAATAATCCGTCCAGCTGTAATCCCATGTTTCACGCCATGAATACAGTCAAATACACTCGAATACAAAAATCTGTCTAGCTGTAATCCCCTGTTTCATGCCTAGAAATGCTACTGTATTCATGAATACAGTAGCTTAAATACATCGAATACACTCCAAAAAATCTGAAAACATAGCAATCGGATGTATATAGTAAATGGTAGCTACAACTAGCTAATAACCACTAAAATATAGTGGTTTCTGAAAGTTTCTCAATTTTAATTGGATATGGGTTTAATGTTTTATATTTTTTAGGTATTATCACTTTTAGCCCGTGCCAGAAATTATTTACATCTGGTAGCCAAAAAAGTATATAAAATTTGTATAATTTTGGTATATAACATACATAATGTATATATATACAAAAAATATATAATTTTTATATATTTTTTTGGTTATTATTTTTACAACGGCTATACAATGTCATTTTTCCTATATTTTTACCATTAAACTCATTATAAAATAAACATTATGGGTTCAACATGTAGTATTTATTGAAATTTGACGATCTTTCATATATATATATATATATATATATATATATATATATATATATATATATATATATATATATATAAAAGCTTCATATTAAAATTATTGGGTTCAATTAAACCCGTACTCGGGTTCTACATCCGCTCCTCCCCGACCCTTCCTCTTCCTAACAGTCTGCATGCAGCTTTTCACCGTCAAAAGAAAACAATTTATGGTATAGGCATCTGTTACTTTTTGAAGGACATAGTGATATTATTTGGTAAAAGTATGGTGGCTTAGGCTCTTATCATAGCTAGAAAAAGGAATTGTTAAACTAAGAAAAACACCAATAGGCAAAACTAGGACGAGCAGTTATTTTTCTTTGTTGGAAACATAAACAACAATAAATTCAGCCAAATCCCAAGAGTGGGATGCATTTTGTAAACATATTTAAAATTCATATTTTGTTACGAAACTTAGCTCAAAGTAATAATATAGAACAATAAAATAGACAACAATGTAGAGAGGAAGAGAGGAGAGAATCTTATTTCTTCTATGTATTCAAGTATGTCAAGTCTATACAATGTGATGCCCAAACCCTCTATTTATAGGATGATATAGGTAATACAAAGGGATGCCATGAACATGGTATTAACTATTGAGAACATGGGGGAAGATCATGGAGGTGTGGGAGTTACATCCATAATGGTAAGAAGTAGTGGGAGGTTAATGGAGAAGAGTAGTGGGTGTTACTCCCTTAGGAGTTATGGACATCCACCATAATCAAATATTTCATAACACTCCCCCTTGGATGTCCAAAGATAATGTGCCTCGTTAAAACCTTACCAAGAAAAAACTCTGTGGGAAAAAATCTTAGTGAAGGAAAAAAGAGTACACATATCTTGTAATACGCATTACTTGCTGCCTCGTTAAAAACCTTGCCAGAAAAACCCAGTGGAATAAAATCTGTGCGAAGGGAAAAAGAGTGCAGCGCGTGCTATACTCCCCCTGACAAAAATATCACTTAATATCTCAAAGACGATAAATTCCAATCATGTATAACAACTTCTCAATTGCTGAGGTTGGCAATGCCTTGTGAAGAAGTTTGCCAAATTATCACTTGAACAAATTTGTTGAACATCAATCATGTCTGAAATAGAACTTTAGTGAAATACGTTTTATTTTGTCTCCTCCGATAGTCCTTCTTTCAATGCATGCAGAATCATCTTCAATGTAATTGAAATCTTGTTGAATATCATAATTTGGCATTACGCTCACAGCCAAATAGATTATCTTAACAACGAACCATGCCCTGCATTTGTATAACCAACATAACCTTGACAATATTTGTTAGAATAAACAAATCTATATCAAGGATTCCTTTTGCAATATAATATTAATCATATTTCAATATCTCCATATAGCCTTTATACTTTCAGTTGTTGGGGCTATTCGTCCAACTTCATATTTTTCAGATGAAGTCAACTTTCATTGCATATTTTTCATTTGGCCAATCATTTATCTGTCCAAATTCCATGACAGATTTGAGCTCAACATCCTCGTCAAATATTAATAATATTGGGCGCTACATTATATAAACAATATCGTCAATGATCATTTTACATCGGTTCCATCATCGCATAATAAATACATAACTTATCGAGATCTCATTATTTTCAGGTACCTGAGCCTCTCCCATGAGGTCTTATAAAATGTTATGTCATGGTGCTCTTATAAAGCACTTGCCTCCTTATTATGACCATCTTGAACATTTGCTCCTCTCCTTCTTCAAGGAGTTTTATCTTTGGAACCGATTAGTCTATTACGCTTCAAGAGCTCCATAGACTATGTCCATCATGGACTTTATTCTATTTGGAGCATTAGTAGCTGAAATATGACATTTAGTTTGGGTCAGCAAATGCGCATGGAAATATTTTACAAATGAATTATTACTTGAATTTCAAGTTCATATTTTTCTTGTACGAGGATCTAGATGTATTCATAATAATTCATTTTACGTATCACTTTTTCAGCTGCCCATTTTCTCCCCCTAATGTCGGGATCACCAACACATTTTCCAACCTTCTTTGGGAACCCATCTTTGTGCATTGTGGCAGCACATTAAATCATATAGCACATCCATATTTCTAGATGGTAATATTTGGTTCCTGACCGTGAACCAATGGTGATGGGGAGAATTTATCATAACTTGTTGGCTAGATGCGTACAAGTGTTGTTGTATATTAAATAATATACCTCATACCAAATTTCTATTTGCGAATTTTGTTCTCATAACCAATGGTTTAGCTATAATTGGAGGCATACAATTTCTGCTAAACCAACTTGGATTTAAACCAGCATTATCAAGATAAATTATCATAATATATATTCTGGAACTGTGCTCTAATAATTTGAGTAAACAAACTTGCAAAAACCAAAGTGCAAGTCGATAACAAACGCACATGTGACCATACAATAGATGCATCTATTAAAATCATATAATAGTAAACGGTCCACATGGCAGGTGATTGAGCCCATACATATATATCACCTTTTATTCGTTCCAGATATCAAGGGATTCAATCCCAACCTTAACTGGTATATCATGAGAAAAAACAGCACAAGAGAATTCTTGAAGAATCTTCTATTTCT